GGCGCAGTAAACGTTCACCCTTGCGGCCCTGACTCGCTTTCTCTGCTTGCCTCCTGCTGCTGAGCCTCCTCTCCTCTTGCAAGGAAGCCGCCGCTCTTCTTCTTCTTCTTCTTCTTCTTCTTCTTCTTCTTCTTCTTCGATGCACCCGAGCAAGGGCGCGATTTCTGCAAAAGAGCGCGCTGCTGGGTTGACTTCTTTCTTCCTGGATTTCCAAAACCTTGGACGCATCTTGGGAATGAAATCCCAAAGGGGCTTTCCCGCCCCCGCCCCGCCCCCGCCTCAACCCCCACCAAAGAGGCCACTGGGACTTTCTGGTTTTTTCTTTGAAGACGGTTTCGCTTCTCCTCCAAGAAGCTTCATCGGAGCTTGAAGAAGCTTTCTCGGAAGGAGAAGCCAGACGAGGCGCGTCTGCGAAGAAAAACCAGTCAGTCTCAGTGGCCCCTTGAAAAAGCTCAGATAACAGATAACCAGAGTTGGAAGGGACCTTGTAGGTCATCTAGTCCAAACCGCCCCCCCCTCCGCCCAAGCGGGAGACCCTACCTACACCATTTCTGACAGGTGGCAGTCCAATCTCTTCTTGAAAGTCTCAAGTGATGGCGCTCCCACAACTTCTGAAGGCAAAGCTGTTCCATTTGTTGATTGTATTTTTTTATTTATTTAGTATTTATTTGATTTGTCAATCGCTTACAAGATACAGGTATAAGAATAAATATAGTTTTGAATGCGTGAGATACTTATAAGAAAAATTAAAAAAAACCAATAGGACAGGGACAGTAGGCACGGTTGCGCCGCTTATGCACGCCCCCTACAGGCCTCTTAGGTTAACAACTCTTAATGCCTTTTGGGCTATGTAGTTAGAGTGGGCTCTAGCACTTAGATCATTAGAGGTGAGTATTCCAAGGTCTTTGACAGAGCTTGGATCATCAACAAGGTCTTGACTATTCAGCTTGTATTTTATTTTCTGATTTTTTTCTGTCAATATGTAAGACAGAGCATTTAATTGCTGAGATTTGAAGTTGCCATTTGATTGACCACTCTGATACATAGTCAAGGTCTTTTTGGAGGGTAGTAGTATTGTCTGTGGTGTTGAATAGCTTTACATCATCAGTGAAGAGAACACAGTTGCTCTTGATATGATCACAGAGGTCATTTATGTAGAGTATTAAGAGAGTCCGTCCTAAAACACTGACTTGAGGGACACTCACTGTCAGAAAGTTTCTCCTTATTTCCAGGTTAAATCCCTCCTTGTTCAGTTTCCATCCATTATTCCTTGTCTGGCCTTCGGGTGCTTTAGAAAATAGCTTGACCCCTTCCTCTCTGTGGCAATCCTTAAATTCCTGGAAGACTGCTACCCTGTCTCCCCTGGTCCTTCTCTTCACTAGACTAGCCGTGCCCAGTTCCTGTAACCGTTCATGTTTTAGTCTCCAGTCCCTTAATCATCCTGGTTGCTCTTCTCTGTACTTTTTCTAGAGTCTCAACATCTTTTTTATAATGTGGTGACTAAAACTGGATGCAGTACTCTAGGTGTAGTCTTATTAAGGCTTTTATAGAGTGGTATTAGTACCTCACTTGATCTCCATTGTATCCCTCTGTTAATGCAACTTAGGATTGCATTCGCTTTTTTGGCTGCTGCTACACACTGCTGGCTCATATTTCCCAAAGAAGCTTCTTGGATGAGAAGAGAAACATCTTCAAAGAACACCCAGAAAGTCCAGTGGCCTCTTGGAGAAAAAAAAAGCACCTTTGAGACAACCATGACCTAGATCAGGGCTCTCCAACCTTGGCAACTTTAAGACTTGTGGACTTCAACTCCCAGAGTTCCTCAGCTGGCAAAGCTGGGAGTTGAAGTCCGCAAGTCTTAAAGTTGCTTAAAGTTGTTAAGGTTGGAGACCCCTGACCTCGATGACTGAGAATCTCCATAGACACACTTGGGAACAAAAGCATTCTGTACCGTTTCCGTAGAGGTTTTGCTGCAGGGATGAATTTCTACCTGGGAAATTAGCTTTGGAGATCCGTTTCATTTTTTAACAGGTTCACCTTCCCTCCCCTACAGTATTCAGCCCATGTCTGTGCTTGTACAGTAACCACTGCCTTCCTGCTTGAGCTGGACTGGGCAGGACAGGTGTCCAACTGGTATAGTTACCAGGAAAGATCATCAGTTGAGAACTGGTAGCCACTAATATCTAGATCCTTACATACCAGTCTAGCTTTCTTCAGTTTAACATCCTCCAGTTGTGTTGGCCTATCCCAGTCTTTCAGCATTGGTTGAAAAACATTTACCAGGAGTTGTAGTCCCAACACAATAGCAGGATGCCAAGTGAGTTATGATGTCTCTAAGATCAGCTCAAATTCAGTAACCTTCCTTGTATTCCTTAGGTCAAGGGTCTTCAAACTTGGCAAGTTTAAGACTTGTGGACTTCCACTCCCAGAATTCCTGAGCTAACATGACTGGAGAAAGAATTCTGGGAGTGGAAGTCCACAAGTCTTAAAGCTGTCAAGTTTGAAGACCCCTGCCTTAGGTCATCTCCACCAAATTCTCCCATATTTTTGGGAGATATGATAACCAACACTGAAAGCCACTTAGTACTCGACTGCAAACTACAAATAACTAGAACCCATTTAACACACTGGCTTTTGTTTTTTATTATTTATCATTTCCCTCCAGTTCAAGGCAACATGTCTGGATCTTCTTCCTATCAATTCTACACTCATAATAAGTTTCTAGTAGACTATTGTTTGGCAGGCTGTTAGGCTAGACTACTGAAAGAGGACCCTGAACAACATGAAGGATAGTGATGCAAGCTGGAGGTAAACTAGAAATATTCTGAAAAGCGGAAGAAAATTGTCCAGTGAAGCTAATGAATTGTTTCATGATAATCCTCTGATATAGAGATTGAAAAAATTGTAAGACAGGACATGGAGATTTAAAAATATTACTTGTTTGGGATGGAACCTAAACAGAAATGTTGTTTTTACACTGTACAATTTCCAAGTTCTTTGCTTGTTGCCTTTATAAAGCTGCCAAAAAACGCTAGTCCTCTCTCTGCTTTTAATCCCGAGTGATGTGTTGAGAATTTATATCTTTGAATTATTTTGGGATAGACTTGTTTTATTTTTGTCCTTTTTACATCACACCCAGAATCTATAGCTTGAGGCAGGTGACAAAAATTGTAAATAAATAGAATAAGCAAACAATAATTCCTGTTAAAAATAAATCAAGAAAGCATCTGGTTTTGGTATCTGGAGCATTTCCCCTTCTTTCCAATATAACCATTGTGAACAGCAAAATTTATGTGACAATCCCCATTTCTGTTTTATCGTATCTTCATCTCTGTGCCAATCATTTCAATCTTAGAGAACACAGGAAAGCAAGTGTTTTTTTTGGGGGGGGGGGAATGTTTCGTAAAGCCAATATTCCACATAAACTTTTCACAGTCCTAGCCTGTTAAGGACAGCCAAGAAAACAAATGAATAGATTATTGAACAAATAAATGCAGAATTCTCACTCGTGGCACAAATGACCAGCTTCAGACACATTCTGTGAAGACCCAGCTCTCTGGAAAAAGCTCCAATCCTGAGAAAGGTGGAAAAGAGAACAAGAGGACGACCAGCAGCAAAGTAAATGGATTCAGTTGTAGGGGCAATGAATGCATCATTGGGAGACATGAAAGAACAGGTGAGGAATAGATTGTCATGGAGAAAATCTATGCAGTTGCTAGGAGTCGAAAATGACTTGATGGCACATAATCATTCAACAGTCAATCATCCTGTTATATGGAAATCACGTGAGTTCATTAAATTGACTATGATCACCAGGCAGCTAAACAGCCACATCCAGCCCACATATTAACTTCACTTTTAACTCTTTGGGAGATGCTTTAGAGCAGCGGTCGCCAACTGGTGGGCCACGAGAAAAATTTGGTGGTCACCCCCAGAGCACCTCCAAAGCAATTAATCCAGGCTGCACGGGAACACAAGGCTGCACCACCCACATGGTCCGCAGGTAAGGAGCCCACTCACTCCTTACCTGGCAAACTTGCCTGCTAAGTTGCTATTTTACCTCCCCCCCCCCACCATCAGCTGTTCTGCTGTGCCGGGAGATTTAGATTAGCCAGAAAGCAGGAAATTGTTGGATTTCTTGCTTCCTAGCTAATCTTTAGATCTTCTCCTTAGGACTGAAGCTTCTATTATTCAGTGCAGAATCACTGCAAGCAAATTTTATGTGACCGACTCAGGTAGCCCATGGCAGATAGATAGATCTCTGAATGATTCTGTGAACAACTCAATCTGCCTGCCTGCTTTGCCTGATTTTGGGTAAAAGTTGCTTTTTTTAATAAAAAATTCAATATTTACATATTTATATTTACATACAAGCCATGCCCAGCCAGTCACATGACCACCAAGCCACACCCACAAATTAGGCCACGCCCACAGAACCGGTTGTTAAGAAATCTGAATCCCACCCCTGCCTCTGTGTGTTTGTGTGTGAGGGAGAGAGGGAGAAAGGTTAGATCAGCTCTCTCTCTCTCTCCCCCACAAACGTCAGCAAGCCACCGTCAGTCAAAATACATATTATTGGTCCCCGGGATTTAAAATTATGAGTTTGGTGGTCCCTGAGGTCCAAAAGGTTGGCAACCCCTGCTTTAGAGTACTGTATAAACCCAATCGGTTTGATGAGCTTTTAGTTCAATATATTGGACATGCCCGCACAGAACATTTAACAATGAGTCAACATGTTGCGTGAAACTAGACATTCAGCCATTCAAATACTGTGCATCACCACCCTGCCCTACAAACTCTCAGACCCTCCTCAAAGAATTGTGGGGGAGGGGAGAAATCAGACACGCCACAGCTACCAGTTGCTCCTGGATTTATTAAATCTTTGGGGATGATTCTGATCTTTTCTGCAAATGCCAGTTCTTGTACCTAGCATCACCATGGATGTATTTTTTTATTTATTTTCCAACTCTTACCCTAAAAGCCGTTTACGGTTTTTCCCCCAAAGCAACGGCGTTTGAAAAATCTTCACACAATGGACCGAATGTTGAAAACTTGCTGGTAAACGGGAAAGCAAAAGGAAGTCCAAACTGGGGAAGAGGGTTAAAAAAGCATTGTATATGCTTCGTAAGAAAACTGGGAGGGATCAGTCAAATCTTTGAAGGAGGTTAGTGGTGGAAGAAGTCTGTCCACACAACAGGCAGATATAATCCAAGGCAAATGCGAACATGTCCTCAAAGCCTCTTCTCCAACTGGTTATCAACACAGAATTAATTAATTACCTCCCGCTCCCTCTCCCACTCCATACAGCACTGTATTATGATCGATTTCAGTTAAGGAGAGTGGGCACGGTCATCCTGGAACAAGTCGAGGATGCAAAAGGAGCCTAAAGCCAAAAGATGAAATAAATCAAGGAAGAGATGGGACAGGCAGGCAGACTGAAGTGCCCATTGCTTTTTAACGAAGACAAGCAAGGCTCCGGGGTGATGATTTATCTGTACCCAAGTGAGGAAGAGACGCAGATGGCCCTGTCCCGCCCTTGTGCTCTTTCATCACCAATCCGCCAGTTGTTTCATACAGTTTGCCTGCTTAAATGGCTGGTGGAAATAAACGCTCCCCAAATGGATTCAACCCAGATGCAGCTTGCAGGAAAAGAACCACGGGAGGCACAGTGGTTCATTGCCCAGCTTGCAAACGGCCCACGGAAGAGCGATTCTTTCCTATCTCTTTTGATGAAAGACTTTCAAGTTAGGCTTCTTCCCAGCTAATTTTCTCACTTTCTTGGGAGTTTCTGGGTGAGGTTGGGTTAAAAATACAGAGTGGGGGGTGGGGGAGGAATCTCTCCTTCCTCCCATCTTGCGTTTCCTGACTGCGCTTCTAGCTGTCTGCCATGTTGATACTGAGTAGTGTGCTTCTGGAATTGGTACGGGGCAGGATTGGGTTCGCTCAGCCCCTTTCCACCCAAATCGCGAAATCCTTTTCCCCCCCCTTGGACCATTTGGATGTTCTGGTTGCTCAGCCCTTTGCTCCAGAACCCACTGGCATTTTCTCTGCTTGTTTCCACGGAGGACAACTCCTTTCTAGGGGGGGCTAGAAGGGAGAACGTGCAATATCCCTCAATATCCCCACAGGAAGACAATGAGCAAAATAGGAAGTAAAGACTTCATAGCTGCCTTGCAAAAAATTATGCCCAGCCAAGTAATGCACACCTCTTCCTTGACAGGGTTTGGATTGTAACTTAGGTTTGAACAGTGAAATGCAGGAGGAGGCCCTACGGATACGACAGGCATCCACTTAAAACCACCCACAGAACGGCCATTCTCCCCACGCCTCGGAACTTCCCTGGCTGTTCCATCTTAGCTCAGCCCTCGTTGCTGGTGAGATACGTCTGGTGCAGCCACAGAGTCAATAAATCGTTCCCAAACTCAAGAAAAAAAAAAAAACCCGGCCTTTTAGAAATCATGCTCCCACACTTGACCTTCGTTGTGCCTATATAGCTTTCAAGGTGCTGTTTTCCTTAACCCGAACAAAAGGAAGAGCAGCAGTAGGAAGGAGGACCAAAATAAAAAATAAAATAAAAAAAATCTAACTTCGGTTCCAGTTTATGCTGATGACTGATCCTGAAACCTGGTATTTGGTAGGTAAGACGAATAAAAGGTTTTGTTCCGTCTCGTCTTCGACGCCGCAGCGTAACTTGTCCCCCTGCAGGTGTCGAAAAGAGGGACCGCCGCTTTTAAGCAATCCGGGCGCTCATTTCACCACAGGGCTCAAAGCCACGCCCAGAAAGAGAAGGCACACAGCTGGAAGCCAACCTGTCCAGCGTCTCGGGCTGAAATAGCGCAAGAAGTGTGATGACAAACCAGGGAGGGAGGCTGCTATAGTCTACACCTGCGGCTGACAGTCTCCCCTTCGGCGGGGGCCTCGGTTAGGGGGGCTCAAACGGAGAAGCTTGGCCGGGCGCCTCGTGGCATTAACCATCGAGCAGCTTCAGGATGCTCTCGCGCTCCTTGAGGCTCTTCCAGGCTTGATCTTTCTCCTTCTTGGTTGGGGTGCGCTTCTTCTGCCGGGCGGCCATGATCTTGCGGAAGGCATCCATGACTTCGTTGTCAGCTATGCGCACGCGTTGCCGCAGCTCTTGCCTGTGAAGTTCCTCTTTGGCCAGCCTGTCAGGAAAAAAAACAAAACACACCGAATTCTTGAGTCATCCCTGGATCCTCGCCTCCTCGCTCCGACTGTTTACGGGTAAGTCCTTGACTGACAACGGTTCACTGAGTGACCGTTCAAAGGCACAAGGGCCCTGAAAAAAAAGTGACTCAGGAGTGGTTTTTTCCACACACACGTGATTGTTGCCGCGCCCACGTGGTCACATGATCAAAATTCGGACGCTTGGCAACCGACTCGTATTTAATTAGATGACTGCATTGTCCCGGGTGTCAGGGCTCCAACAAATCACCCCTCACCCAAATCGAAAGTCTCTAGCCGCATCTCAGGAAAAAATAAATTGGTTTATTAGAAATTGCCATGTTGGCGCGTCTTCCTGGTATTCCCCCCACCCCCTGGATGTGACTTCTCCAATGGGACACACCCGTCTCCAAGGGTCATCCATCATGCTCTCCAATAACGTTCTTATGCTCCGACAACTTTGGGCTGCCGAGGTGATTATCTACCTTGTTTTCCCCCACTCCCTTTTTCTGGCAGCTAAAAAGACCAATATCTTTTTAGTTGGCACTGGGGGTTACTGGGATCCCTTTTGGACAAGCAAAGTCAATGGGGGAAGCTGGATTCGCTTAACAACCGTGTTACTAAGTTAACAACTGCCGTGATTCACTTAACGAGGCAGTGTTGTGGCCTGCCAGCTGCTGGGCCCTCCAGCAGCCAAATCAGAGGAGGAGAAGGTGTGGGAGTCCAGGTCAGCATCAAGACAGCCTGAGAGCTCCAAAGGGAAGAAGGAATGGAGCTGGCGGAGAGAGACAGAGGCAGAGACTGGGGCCGTCCGTCAGCTCTCAGACGGAGAGTCAACAGCCCCCCCCCCCAGGTTTGGAGGTAGCTGATGAGGAAGAGGAGGAACAGCTGGGTCCAGTGCCTGATATGCAGATGTGCAGAAGGCAGAGGAGAGGAGAGCAGTGGAAATCCGTGGGCTGATCCTTGGGAAGGAAGAGCCAGCACCACTGCTAACGAAGCCCCACCCTAGCTCTGGGGATAAAAGGCAGGGGGGCGGAGATGAATAGATGGGGCAGACAGCTACTCATCTTCCGGCCAGATGGACTTGTTAGCCTGCATTGAAGAGAGAAACGTTTTGCCGGGGCTGCCGGGGCTCCTAACAAAGGAATCTTTTGAGTTCACGTCAGAAGGTTTGCCCCCTGTTTGGGGGAGTGGTAAAATGGGCCAAAATTTACTTACCAACTCTCTTTGTTTAGCCACAGACGTTTTGGGCTCAACTGTGGTGGTAAGTCAAGGACTACCAATATTTCCTCCAATTTCAGAGAACAAACGTTCAAGGCAGTGATGGGATTCAAACGTTTTTACTACCTGTTCTGTGGGCGTGGCGGGGAAGGAGAAGGATACTGCAAAATCCCCATTTCCTCCCCACCTCACTAACCTGCTTTCCGGCTCCGTTCTCCTGTGCGGGGCAACGAAAGAAGACCCAGCCGATCAGCTGGGACTCAATGGGAGGCAGAGAATAGATGGGAGCGGGGCCAGTCAGAGGTGGGATTTGCTGGTTCTCCAAACTACTCAAAGTTTCCGTTACTGGTCAGAACCTGCTGAATGCCACCTCTGATTCAAGGGTTAAAAACAAAAACAAAAAGCCAGCGAAAAACAACGAGTACCAGCAACACCAAAGCCGCCTCGAGGAGTGGATTATCAGAACCTGCCTCTGGTCTCTTGTCTCTCTCTTTCTCTCTCTCTCTCCTTCTCGCTCTCTTTCTCACCTGAGCAGCTCAACTTTCTTGGTCCGGTTGTGGGTACTCAACGCCTTGAGCTCAGCCTGTCTCTTCCGCAGCTCGGCTAACACTTCGTCCTCCGAATCCTCCGCCGGCCGGTCCTCTGACTCCAGCAGGCCTTGAGCAATAAGCTCTTCCTTGATGCGGCCTTCAAGAGATTTTGTGTGGGGTACGCTGAAGGGGACAAGACAACCGAAGCGGCATTACAGGTAGTCCCCGACTTACAACGGTTCTGTTTAGAGACCCGTTCAAGCTTACAACGGCACCGAAAGGAGTCTTTGGAAAAGGTCAAAGCATTGGAAAGAATTACCATGAACCTTGTTAAATAAAAATGGGGACATCGGGTGCAAATAGAAAAATACATACTATCTCTATAGCAAGGAAGATAAAAGCAGGAATGGTTAAAAATGGATTGTTTTATTCAAAGAGGAAAAATATAGTCTCATTTGGATATCATTTCTGGAGGTTGTGCTTGTGATGAAAAAAATATGAAACTTTGACTTTGGTTTTCTGTTGATCAGAACGATTTGTCATTATAGAAATAGCTAGAGTTATATTAATGTGTAAAAGCAAACAGTTGAGTCCCCCTTGTATTTCACACCCTCTTTTCCCTGCTTCTTTTCCTTCCTTTAATTTTCTATTTTTATTTTTTTCTTTGTATCTCAAACCCAGGCTGTCAGCTTTCCGACAAGCTCAATGTCTTTTAAGTGCTGAGCCATGGGACATTCCCTGAAATTCATTAACCTGGGGCCAATATTACTATCATTGCCTATTTTTTAAGTATTCTTATCTCTGTATTATATAATACTGATTATTTTATGTAATTTACCGCCATTCTTATGTGCCGATATTTTTTTGTTATTCAGCTATTACTTGCCACTGATTCTTTGTGAGCCTATGGATGACCGTTAGTACTGCCTTCTTCTGATTTCTCATATGCTCCCGCTTATTTCGTCAGTGATGGTATCGGGTCAGCTGTTGGACTTTTGATTTTTTGTAAATATTGGAATCTCTTCTAATGATTTTTGCTTTCACGGTTTGTGTCCAAAACATCTAACATCTTGATTGCAGCATCCACTGGCTAGTCTGGTTTTACTTCACCTACCCTTGCTTTTCTTGAGGTCCAAAGTATTGTCAACAATGTTCTGCAAAACAATTTAAAGCATCTGTTTTTCTTTACACAACCTTTCTGATGGTTGAGCTTTCCTGGGCATTTGCTTCGAAAGTAGTGATGTTCATGTTACCGGTCACTATTCTTGTGATTTCTTTTGAGCTTGGGAAGAAAAAGTCAGCTAGAATTTCAACTTCTGCACTGGGTTTACATTACTGTAGCCTTTAAAAAATAGTAAACAGCAGACTACCTTTTGTTCTCTTGTCCACAAGAGTTCTCATAAATATTTCTTGCTTATATCTCATCTGAGGTTATTGGTGTTTATAGTTACAGTTTCTATTTAATGCAACGTTTCTTGTGATATTTTCTATACATAACTTAAATAAAAGTGACAACCATCAGCCTTAGCATACTCCTCTTCAAATTCTGAGTCATTTGTGTAGCCTAACCGTTGACATATTCATCAGACAAATTCTGCCCTGGGCAGCTGAGGTGGTCTGATTTTAAGGATTATTCACAATTTGTTGTGGTTTACACAATCAAAACCCTTTATATGATCAATAAAACAAGTAAGTCATTTTGATTTTGAAACCTGTAATTTTCCTGAATCCAGGCTGTACATCTGACAGTTCTCATTCCAGGGATTGTCTGGATCATAAAATCTTGATTATTATTTTAGCTGACTTTCAGACAAGGGCAATTGTTTAATAGTTTAAGCATTCTTAAGACTGTCCTTTTTTGGTAATGGAACATAAACTGATCTTTTCCAGTCCCTTGGCTACTGCTTTGTTTTTCACAGCTGCATACATACACACTGTATCACTTTAACTGCATCACCTGGCAGGGTTTTAAATGGTTATATTAGTGTATCATCAACTAATGTAGCTGTTGTGAGCAATCCTTTCTGGAATTTTTTAAAACTTCACTTTTCTGACTCTAACTTTGCACACATCATCAAACGGGGGAGAACAACAATTTCATGCTTTTCTTTCCATAGCTTATTTCTCCAGTTGATCTTTGCTTTGTCTTTTATTTGCCTTATCTGTTTATTTATTGTGCTTGACTTCATCTTTATATTTTCCTTAAATAATCTCTTGTCCTTCTGGTTCTGCGGTCATCCTCAATTCCTTTGCGTTGCTTATTTCAATGCAACTCCCTGTTTTGCTTGCTCTTCTGTGGAATTTAGCATTTGGCTGGACAAACATTCCTCCCTCTGCGTTGCCTTTCTCTTCACAGATTTTCAGCATGGCAAGCAGTTAGCCATTTTGTTTAGCTTTTGGGGTTATTTTATTTGTTTCAACTTTCATAAATGTCAGTCCCAGGTTCTTCAGCATCCTTAGCAAATTGAGTTCATTAAATCTGATCTCCGTTTACACTGTTTATTCTCCTTGCGTGCTACTTTTCTTCAGTTACTTAGTCTAGATTTTTCCAAAGCTATACGGATACTTATTTCGGTTAATTTAGACAACCACCCTTTAAAACATGACTAGGAGCAAGTGAACAAAAAACATGAAGTAAATCATCTTAAAAATATAACAAAACATTACAGATTCCACCAAGGCAACAACCAAAACAATTATATATCAGACAGGAACGCCCATTACCCTGAAGGCCTTGGGAAAGGCAGGCAAGGTTGGCGGTCTCTGTATTCCAAGCAGAAAGACTCCATGAAATTTAGCAGGAATTACCTTAAATAGATCTGCTTAGGATTATACTGATATTCTGCAATGCTTCCTGAACAGCTAAACATGAGGGGGAATGGGACAAATATTTCAAGGAATGAAATAGGTTTTCAAAAAGGAAAGAATTGCTACGCTCACCTGAAGGGCTTGTTCTGGCTGCGGGGAGAAGTGCTAGCACCATCGATTGCAGAGTCTTTGCCGGCTATCTCAGGAATAGGCGAATCTTCAATAGGGGAGATGATGTTCTCCTAGAGAGAAAGAGGTGGATTGAGAGGATTACACAGTTCTTGGTTGTATAAACGGAGGCGCGGAATCAAAACCACGTGAAATATTAGCACCCCTTTATAAAGCCTTAGAGTTAAGACCACACCTGGAATACAGCATCCAGTTTTGGTCACCGCATTACAAAAAAAAGAGACTTTGGAAAAAGTGCAAAGAAAAGCAACTAAGATGATCAAAGGCCTGGAGTCTAAAATATATGAAGAACGGTTGCAGGATTTTGGATAAAAGAAGGACCAGGGGGGACATGATAGCAGTATTCCAGGATTTGACAGGCTGCCACAGAGAAAGAAGGGGGTCAACCTATTATCCAAAGCACCAAAGGGCAGGACAAGAAAAGAATGGATGGAAACTAATCAAAGGAGAGGAGCAACCAGGAATTAAAGAGAAACATCCTAACAGTGAGAACAATTAACCAGGGGAACAGCTTGCTGTCAGAGGTGAGGGCTTCATCACTGGAGGTTTTTTAGAAGAGACTAGACAGCCACCTGTCGGAAATGGTATAGAGCAGGAGTGTCAAACTCAAGGCCCTTAGGCCAGATGTGGCCCGTGGGGCCGCCCTGGAAACAGTGAAGGATCAGCCCACGGTGTCTCTGGCAGCAAAAACGGAGCTTGGGAGGGCCGTGCGCATTGGCCCTTTTCCCTGGCAGAGGGCTGCAGGAGGACGTCACAGCGGAAAGTGGAACCCCGGAGCAGGGTGTGTGGGCCCCCCGGGCTCCATTTTCAGTGACAGAGTGCTAGAAAAACAAACTACTAACAAAAGTGGATCTCTCCCAGCCCTGCTGGGACCACCACAGGTGCCCCCAACACGAGTGGCGTCGAGCTGGCCGTGCCTACCTGGCCACCCGCCCCCCCCAAAGGTCTAACACAACCCTGAGGCGGCCCTCAGTGAAATCAATTTGACATCCCTGGTATAGAGTCTCTTGTTTGAGGAGGGGGCTGAACTAGAAGACCTCCAAGGTCTCTTCTGATTGACTGGAGAGAAAAAGAGCCGAGACCAAGGTAATTCTTTTCAATAGGTCCTCCCTTAGAAAATCTGAGCCTGCTGGAGCTGAAGAAGCTGGCTGTTTTTCTTTTCTTCATTCCTTACTTCTACGAGTGCCTGCAGGAGGCGCTGGGTGAGTGGTCCAAAAGGGCACCCGTCCTCTGGCTGTTCATGCTGGGACTCCGATTTCTTCAACAAAGCATCAACATCTGGAGAGGAGGGAATGAAGGAGCAACTAAGAACTAGGAAGGACAGGTCATTATCAGTGGCAATCATGTGGCACTTTGCAAGCGAGCAATTCTGGGGTTCTTGCCATGCTATTAAAAACGAAGGGACTTAAACCTTCAACAGAAGGGGCTGACTTTATTCGACATACTATGCTCATTTTAATCTATGAATCTCTCAATCTCAACTGGGCTTCATTTCAACATCACCGACGGAGGAATTGTGGGAGTTGAAGCTTAGGCATTTTCAAAAGTTGCCAAGGTTGAGAAACACTGATCTGGAGCAACACATAAAGCAGAGATAAAGAAATCTCTGATTTTTTTCTGTTTTTGCTAAATGATAGTTCCCGGAACCAAGGAGCTGAAGTAGACAATAGGGCTACCAATTTTTTTTTTCACTTTCCCTACACAGGTGATCCTTGGTTAATGACTACTCGTTCAGCAAGTGTTTCAACTTACAGTGGCGACAAATGGGTGGTTCTTATGATCGGTCTTTAAAGTTCCAAAAGTTGCAATACTCCTATAGTCACATTATCATAATCCAGGCACTCAGCAACCGGTCTGGATTTCCGACTGTTGCAGCAATCTGCAGTTACATAACCTTCTCGGCCAGCTTTCTGCAATCAAAGTCAATGGGGAAGCCAGCAGGAAATTGGTGGCCATTGGTTATATGAGATCCTTAATGACCATGCTGATATGCTTAATGTCGGCAACTAGGAATTGCCATTGCTAAGTGCCATGGACACCTGACATCATAATTTATGACTGCATCCCATAACAGTGGAAATTCCACTCCTAGTTACTGCTATTAAGTGAGGACTACTTGTAAAGCATGACTTCTGCAAGCGAACTAACAGAGCTTTCTAGTAAAACAGCATCTTTAGTCTCTTCTGTTCTGGAAAACATGTCAGGGAATAGCTCAGGATACCCTTAGTGTCCAGTTCGGTCAGAGGTCCCAAGATGCCTTTCTTCTTATCAGCAGTAGCAGCAGCCCGAGCCCCGTCCTTCTGCTCTTCCAGCAGGTCTTCCTGGGCCCAGCGCTGGGAGTAATGCTTCCCTAAGGGTGGAATCTACAAGAACAGGACAAGGGTGCATAAATGAGAGCCAGCTCACACACCAGAAAGGGCAAGTATCTCCAAACAATTCAGCTGTGCCTCAGTGCATACATGTGGCCAAACGCTGTCCCTGTTTTTCAGATCTGATTCTAATTGGGCTGCCTCCGTTCAACTCAAATTATTTTTTTCCTCCCTTCCAAAATTTTCTATTTTAAATGATTGTAGCGCAATGTCCTTATTCCCTAATGGATCTAAGGAGTTTTGCAGTGAAGGTGGGAGAAAAAATACTCTTCGTTCCCCATCGTGGTTCAGAATGTCATTCCATTTGTCGGTGTAGACTGAATTTCCTCAAGATAAGCCAGAGAAGATACTAAAAAGAGATAGCTAAAATGAAACGGGGAAATGGGAAAACGCGTTTTCTCCAGACAGGGAGCCTCAAAGATCAGGGCAAAAAGAGTAGCAAAGGCATTTTTTCTGCAGCCATCCAACTGTTGCAAACCTGGGCAAAACCTCAAGCTTTTTTCTCCTGCAACTTTTCCTAGTCTTCTGCCCTCCATTCCACTAATGGAACCAGCAGGGTTCCCTTTATCATTCTACAAGAGGAGAGATTAAGAAGCACTGAGGGGAATGGAAGTGAGAAATAAAGTTGGACAAGTGACTGGCCCAAAGGTGCTTTTTTTCAAAAAGCAACTGGACTTTTTTTTGTTTTTCCTTAAAGACATTTTGCTTCTCGTCCTAGAAGCTTCTTCAGTTCTGACTGAATGGTGGAGAGTGGAAGGATTTATATTCCTTGCAGTCATCTGGTCGTTAGCACTCTTTCTGATAGTCGTTGAGGCCACTTGGAGGTTTATCTATGCCCTCAGAGTCACCTGAAAAGTACAAATGGGTGTGGAACCTTCTCGGAACCGCTGAAAGGACCGTGTTGTAAACAGGAGATAGGTGGTGTTATATCCCAACTGTCCTTTCAGCAGTTCCAAGAAGATTTGACCAGATGACTGCAAGAAGTATAAATCCTTCCATTCTCCACCATTCAGTCAGAACTGAAGTTTCTTGGATGAGAAACAAAACTTCTCAAAGGAAAAACAAAGTCCAGTTGCCTTTTGAAAAAGCACATTTGGGACAAAACCATGACCTGGATGATTGAGAATTTCCATAGATAAATGGGCATGTGATTCCCCCCCCCCCCCTTCAGTTTTGTAACTCTGGGATTCTTAAAGGAAAAAGGTTGTTCTCTCCATCCAAATTTGGAAATGCTACTATTTAAAATTCCTAGAAAACGTATTTGCTTGAGAACAACTACAAAGCTTTGACCCTCAGAAAATATTGGGACAAATCAACAATACATATTTTACAAAATACACATTTTAGCAATCAAAATTATCAGGAACCTCTGGGTCAGAAACAGACCTTCAAATACTGAACTGAAACACTTATTGTCTCTTGCTTGGTCATGCTGATTGGAGCTGTTAAAGTTGTAGTTTAGCAACATGTGAGTAACTTGCTCTGTGCTCCAGTAAAATCAATATAGAATCCAACAGCCTTTTAGTCCCATTGTTTCACCCAATACAGAATTTGTCTTAGATCAAAGTACCACAACACAGTTTTTACATGAGGAATATACGGAGAATTAACTCAATCCAAATTTAGGACAGGTTGAATGAAATGTTTCTGCTTTTTTACCTTGTAGTGTTCAGCTTCATCTTCAGGTGGCTTAAGAAGGTCGTCTAAGGTACGAACCTCCTCATTGGTGAGGTCAGCGCAGTATGGCTCCACTGAGGCCCAGAATCTACGAGCATGAACAGTAAGAAGGAAACAGAATCATGGTTCAGGAAGATTGCTTATAATAAGCAATATGACAACCCAACATAACACATTATGACTTGCAAGGGCCAGAACCAAGGGGGCCTCATTTCAATTTAATTGAACACATGTTCTGCATTGACAATAAATGTTTGATGAATTAAAATCTGGATTACTAAGAAGCTAGAACCTTTCCTAGTTGGCACTAGCAGTATACAGCCTTTCCCAGCCAAGAGCCTCCAGTCATATGGAGAATGGGAATTATGGGAATTGAAGTTCAACACGTGGAGAGTCCCACAGCACTTATTCTGATAGGGCAGTCCATGTAATGAGGGCCAGTAATAATTGCCAGATGTTAAGACAAGGGATGGCAAACTGGGTGGTATGTTTAGCTGCAGGCATTTTTTTTTTTTCTGTCACCTCTTTTGAATATAAGGCAGGAGGCTGCCCGTTCTTGCTGTAACTATTTACTGAACTATACACCTGTTTCTTCTTTATGTTTCATAATGTAGATACTTATGGGGATGATAGATACGATGACAGCAGTCACTTTCATAGTTACCTGTTAGGTGCATCATTTTTAGGAATACGAGGCACATCAATTGGATCATCTGAGAATTCATACTCTTGAATTTTAGGCTGCAGGTTCTTGGATTTGGGCCGCCCTGGAGTGCTGTGGCTTCCTTTCACATCTAGCTTCTGCTTCTTGAGCTTGCTATGTTTGATAGAAGGACCCACCTCATGGTCCTTGCCAATTTTCAGAAGCCGCCTGTCTCCTTTCTTGTCTTGCCAATCTGTCAAAATCTGATGAGAATGAAGGAAAAGGTCATATAGCAAGGTACCTACACCTATCTTGGAAAGAGGAAGCCAAAAGGGGGTTCTTTAGCGGGACTGCTACATTATGGAATTCTTATTAACATCAGAAGAGCCCTGATGGAACAGAACAATAGCTTGTCTACAATTCTGTGTTGTGTGGTTAAGCTAATGCATGTTGGAAGCAGGGTCCTTAGTGCTCTCTGAGGTTGGTTGTTGTTGTTGTTTTGCAGACGTTTCGCTACCAAAGTAGGTAACATCATCAGCAGAATAGAATTCTTTATTGGCCAAGTGTGATTGAACACACAAGGAATGTCTTGGTGCACTTTGACAAGCACTAGATTAAACTAGCACTGATGATGTTACCAAATTTGATTAATAAAACATCTGCAAGAAAACAACCAACCTCTCAGCACCAATGATCCCATAGTTCAAATGTGAGCTACAATTGTTTTTTTCTATCACCATTTGGAAAGCTAACTTCTTAGCTAACTGTGACACAAAATCCTCCAGTAAGGGCACGATCATCTGAACTAGGTGTGACTTTTGTCTAAAAACTACACAGGTCTAGTTTTTCTAAACAGTTTCTCAGGTGATCTTTAAAGGCATGGAGCCAAATGGGCTCTGCCATCTAGAAAGCAGACTTCACTATATTCTTGCTTTCTGAAGATGACTTGCCTTTCACAGACATAAGGACTGTGTGATCCATTATATTTAAAAGAAAGAACAGCAACTGGAAGACTCAAGCTGAAGGGCCTTCTCTCTATGAGGGCTCGATTACCATCTGACCTGGGTTTCAGTCTCCAGCACCCGAAGTCGGCGGCTTGCAGATGACAGCAATGTTTCAAGCTCCAACTGTAACGTGTCAAGCTCTTCAATGCCAATACCATCATCTTCGGAACGGGCCAGTACAGCTGTATAGCGTGGGCACACTTTCAGATGGTCCACAGACTTGAAATCATGGAATTGAAGGGGGCAATCTTTCAGTTCAGACATGGTGTTGCCGGGCCTGAGAAAAGAAAAGGAAAAAGAAAAAAAGGAAAGACAACATGCAAACATGAAAAGAGCAACATTAACAATTTGATACCTAACAGCAGAACTGAGGAGGGAATGCAATTATTTGAATTTATTCCCCATCCCCAAATATCTTACCCTACATAAATAGTGGAGACAAGTAGTTCTTCACAACCAGGAATCTTGCCGAGATGGAGGCATCACTGCAGGCACCGTTGCATTGGGAAGAATCCACAGAGTGGAAAAACAAACGTTATTTTTTAAAACAAACGACGACCAGAACTGAAGGGCTGCTATGGCAAATGCAGGCTTGACAGGGTAGCTACCGCAGTCGAGATTAAGGAAGTGAACGATCGTGGCAGAGGGAAGGCGAAGACAAGGAATTTGGGGGAATTCTTTTGCCCAGAGAGGACGAGGTCCTAAAATAACGAGGACGGAGGGAACTGGAGCCTGATGCTGCTGCTGCTTAGACAAGGATATAAGGAAGCACTATAAGAACTATGGACGGTGGAGAGACAAAATGATGAATGAGGGGGGGAAACAAGCCAGGAGGGGGCGCTGGAGAAAGGCGGGGGGGGGAATTATTGGGCGAGTTTCCGGTTCCAGAGGCTCCTTCCGGGTTACACCCATACGGAGCGCATCAGGAAGGGAAGAGGGGCGACTCGTATCCCCCGGAGATGCAGCGGTCGAGCGCGAGGCTGACTCCCAGCCGCCATAGCGGCGAGAGGGGGGAGGGGTGACGGGAAAAGTATCACGCCGAAATCTGCCACACAACACACAAAATCTCTCTGCCCAGAGAGTTCCGCCCCTTCCGCTTCAGCGGTCGAGCCTAGTCATTGGGCACACGCTCCCCTTCTTACTTCGCCCTCATTGGCTACAAACCAACCCGCGGAGGGCGCGGAGCCGTTTTTTTTTTTTTTTTTAACTTGGCATCCTCTTGACCCCACCCAGACCCTCTTTCTCCTGGCCAAATATGGAGGCAGGGAGGATGGGTCATACCATATTCACCGAAAAACGGGGGGGGGAGAGGAGGAAAATGAATGTGCCTCTATTCCTACGGGAGACGTTTCGGTCTCCTTCGCTGCCGTAATGGATAACACTTTATCCGCCGCCTGGCGTGTTGCGAATACCTCAACAATAATAATTTAAAAAGAGGGTTAAGAAGATCCCTCGCGCTCACCCGGGGAGGGGGGGCGTGTTGGAACGGTCCATCCAGTGCGGAAGTGGAGAACTTTGTTTGGTGGAGGCCACTTCCGCTTCCGTTTTCTGGACCAGGTCTCCGGGGCTGCAGCGGCTGCTAGTCTCTCTTTGCTGCCATGGTGAGCGGGCTTTGGAGGGGCCGAAGGCGACGCGGACGAGCGGGAGTCGGGGTGGGCTTGACGATATGGAGGCCTGCTTAGGGTTTAAAAAGAAGGGGCGGGCTGGAGATGGGTAGAGAGAGCGGTCCATGGCGAGGCGGGATGGGAGCGGAGGCGGCAGGAGAGAGAGAGAGAGAGGCGAGGCTTGGTTCGGCCGGGATCGAAGACCGGATCGCCGGATCCCGCGTTGGGATCGGAGGCAGGGAACCCCGAGAAAGGAAGCCCGCCTCTGTGGTTTTGGAAAGCGCTGACGTCAGAGAGAGGCGGGGGGGGGGGGGGGGGGGTCCCGGCGGGGGGGGGAAGGGGGTGGGGGAGGAAGGGGGAGGATTGGCAAAGGACCCGGGGGGTGGGGGGTTGAGGATCTCCCCAAATCAGTGACCCCTGCTTTCTCCCCCTTCCCTCCATTTTTCTCCTTCCTGCAGACAGCCACTCTGCGCCCTTACCTCAACGCAGTGCGTGCCACCCTGCAGGCTGCCTTGTGCCTGGAGAACTTCTCCTCCCAGGTGGTAGAGAGGCACAACAAACCCGAGGTGGAAGTCAGGTCTGTGCCTGAAGGTTCA